GTTCAACCAAAAGCGCTTTGCAGCCATGACCCTTTCAGAAACACTCTTTAAAATCCAAGAACTAATGGGAAGGATTAACATAGCTACTGATACAGGTAGCGCAGGACTTTTAAAAATAGATACTACTTTTGATACTTGCAAGAGCAGAGAAGGGCTAAAATATCAGAGAACTTAGGAGGAGAAAGCCTCATAGATTCAAGGTTTACAAGAACAGGTCGCCAGCCTGAGATCGAGGCACTCACTGCAGGGTAAGGACAGGGAGCTCCTCTGCGGTGCCTGGGTACCGGTAGCACCACGTGTGGAAGGAAGAGCTCCCGCCTGCCCCTTACTGAGGGCATCTGGGCAACACAGAGGCAGTTTTATGCTGTAGAACACTTCAGCATACACCATATTTTTACTTAAAATTGCAACAAACAATGACACTAGAATTCCCCCTGCTAAAAATTACCTTATGTGGAAATAGGATTGCCTATGCACAACCACATAAACCTAGGACTGCAGTTTCTCCTAGTTTTTACATATACAGTTCTGGTAAAATAAGGAGGGATTATTGGGTAATGGGTATAATAATACAAGAAATACCATTTCCAAAAAAAGATTATATGGTGGCTTTGACAAGCTAATATAACTGAAATGCTATTTGTGTTTCTTTTTTACCCAGTCAGGCCACAGTAATTGGAGACTTTTCTCAGACACCAGCGCACTGCGCCTTATCTCCGCACTATGCATGCTATGTATAATCTCTTGTGCCTTTATTTAAATCTTTTACGCTCTCACTGCATGCAGAGTCCATTGAACGGGCATCACATCAGCGAGTCAAGCTGTGCCAAGGGACAGCCCGGACTGCTGTGTGAGGATAGATGAGGCTCCAGCTCCTGCTGCAGCCTCCCCTTCCTCCGCTGCCCACCTCGCTTTTGTCACAAATAAATAAATAAATAAATTGGGCTCAAGAACCGGAGCCCAAACCACGTTACAACGTTCTGTGTGGCTTATCTGGAGACCCAAGCGGCGAATCTTTAATTGAGCATCTTTTCCCCTCAGCCCTCCCCACGAAGGGGGAAACACAGATCAGAGGCGCGGGTCGCCGCTCCGCTCCGCCCGCCCCGCTCGGGGCTGCGCCCCGCGCCCCGCCGCGGCGGCTCCTCAGCCTCGCTGCGGGCGGGCACCGCGGACCCCGCAGCGCTGCGGGGAGCCGCAGCCGGAGCCGCCCCCGATGTCGATGCCGATGCCGTTCTGGCGGCCGCGCCTCAGGAGCCCCCGGCACCGCGTAACGGCCGCGCCCCTCACGCCAGCTGCGCAACGGCCGCACAGCTGGGGGGAGGCGGCGGCGCCCCCTGCGCGCCCCCCGCCCGCCCGGGGCCCCGCGGCCCCGCTCCTTACCGTCCGGCGGCGGCGGGGC